ATAACACTTTAGTCAATAATCTAGAGAGAAGAAATGTACCCTAAATTATCGACTAATCTGTTGATAAAGTTTGTGGTGTGATTGCGAAGACTCGTCCTTGGGTCCCTAAAGTCCCTACTTGAAAGCCCTATCCTCAACCTCGGCCCATGCCCTGGCCTGATTGCAGAGTCTCCGCTCGTGAAGTGGTAGGGGCTTGTGCCGCACCCTGAAACTGGATCTGATTTCTCCAGCCTATGGTGGGGTAGGGAGGAATTAAGTAGGTTTGTGGATGCCCCACTGATGACTTGGACTAAGATGCCCCATAGCACTGGGATCCTTGTCTCTAATGACACTCTCTCTTCAAGTGGCCTGGCTGGTGGCAATAGAAACATGTATGTGGGTCTCTCTGTGGTGTGCCCCTAGAATTTCTCCCATCTTGGAAAGATTGACCATGGCATTAGCCTTGGCCCTGATAATCTCGGCCCTGTCCCGGATGTCCCTGCGGAGTAGAAGTCCTTTGTTTTTTCCTCAAACTAGAAGAAGAGGATTGACCCCCCTTCTTCTTATCTTTAGCACCTGCTTCCCGGATGCTTCTTGTGTCATCTACCTCCCTCTCATTAGTCATCACTGTCTCGATCATCGAGTCCAAATCTTGTAAGCAGTGGCCCACAATCTTCCCCCGGATGGACAACTTTAAATTATCCTCAAATCTCCTCACTTTGGCCTAGTTTGTGGCCACATAGTCATTGGCGAAATGAGCTAACTTGATGAACTTAGCCACGTACTCCATCACTGTCATGTTCCCTTGCTTCAAATCCAAGAATTCCTGGCCTTTTGCTTGACGAACAACTAATAAAAAGTACTTGTCCATGAAGAGCTCCTGAAATTCTCCCCATGTCATTGCCTCTAGGTCCCTCGAGGCCTTTGCCTAATCCCACCACAGATGGACTTCTCCTTCTAACTGGAATGCAGCTAGCCTAACCTTAATGCCATTAGAAGTGATCTTCATACCCTCTAGTATCTTATCAACTTGTTGGAACCAATGGTCTGCCACCATCGGATCCGCTCCTCCCATAAAAGTCGGAGGCTTGTGTGCCTTGAACTTTTGGAGGTTACTTGAGCCTCTTTGACCCACATTAGTGCTATCTTGTGCAAAAGTAGCCACCCTCATGCCTACAGCCTCTATAAAGGCTTGTTGGTCAAAGGCAGGTGGCAGTTGATTGTTGTTCTGCCCACCTCCTCGACCATTCTGATTTCCTCTCCCTCTATTTGCCTTCTACACACAAGTCAAATGGCAATAGAGCAACAATTTAGTATCCCAAAGTTAGGGATCAAAAGTTAAAATTGTAGGAGGTACACTACTTACCGGTAGATGCCCAAACAGTAGGTTTTCCCATCATTCCCCTTCCCGACTCTAAGGTTATCTTTTCTAACTGTAGTATCTCATTCTTATATACATTTAACATGCAATGCATAATAGATGTAATGGCTTAGACACATGTCCCACAAACTCTAGGTAAATCGAGAACATAGGCTCTGATATCAAGTTGAGACACCCCAAAATTCGGGTGTCTGTAATTATCTCATTGATCACCCATCAACCCGTAGAATACTCGTAGATACTGTGTAACTCGATACCACACCGGTATGCCCCATTTATCGAGATTCATAACTTAACAAAATTCGGACAAAGTCTCATTTTGTACAAGAAACTCTATCCAAAAATAAAATATGTGGAATTATACAATATTGACCACACCAGATCCATTCATCCATACTCAATTGCATAGTATTGAATACTACCATAATCATCATCACTACTTACATTCATTCATAAAATAATAAATGTCTCAAAAGAGTCTCATGTACATGCCTTTTAAATATCAACAAGTTTTTGTTATAAAAATTACACAATGTCAAAAGTAAACGTATACAAGGGGTTACAATGTCAAAATAAGAGCCACAATCCGACTCTGTTGTTAAAGCGGACCAGTAGGAGGGCCTTGGTGAAAGCCTATGGTATACCTGAAAATTGTTCCCATAAAGGGTGAGTCAATGCTCAATAGGATAACTCCTATAGATAATATCTCTCAACCCAAATGCATATGAAATGTCACATGCAACAATCATTTCATGCATTCATTCAAATATGTATGTTATGAACAAATGTCATAAATCATATCATGTCATGAGATGAGACTTGCGTAAATAATACCAACACCAAGTCTCATCTCGAGCTCTCATAACACATGCAATGCCATGTGTATGTATCCAGACATTCAAAGCCCCCTTCATTGGTGTTACGTATAATCAATGACTAATTAATTCATTTTCTTGTGTCTTTGTGGTGAGATGATTTATGGTCTACGCCAATGGGACACCACACCATCAACGAATTTTCAGGACATCCCACTTGTGGCTCTGTTTTCGCAATTACACTTTTCTGGAATTGCACCGCCGAAAAGTGTATAAACCAAGTAAGCGGGTCTTACACCCGAGGGAGAATCTAGCCCTTCTTGCTATACCCTGACATGTTTATCCATTTAATTTCCTGTGCGACTCAACCAAACCTTGGTGCGACTTTTTTGAGCCCACGATCAACCACTTATGTGGTGATTGATTTCATACCAGGCACACACTCGCCTCCATGTCAATGCTCATAAATGTAATGTATCTCATGCATAATACAATACAATGTGCAATTGTCTTTGGTACCATTTACAATGTCCATTACATAATAAATATAATATAATGACATTTTCAACACAATCTCAAGCATGTTATGTAAGATAATCAACTCAACTAACATACTTATATTCATCTAAGCATTTAAACAAACACCTAGAGGGCACATCAATTTACACAACTAGCATGCTTATTACTTCCAACATGACAACATGTTTATTAATTCTATAAGCATAAACACAAGTCCACCACAGATATCATATGCTAAATAATCATTTAACATACACATTATTTCATAATCACATAACAAGCAAATAATTTTATTAAACTTGATATGCCATTCAAACATCAAGTCATACTAATATACAATTAACTTGTTTTGAACCACTAACATTAACTTACACCAAGTTAATTACAAAAGGATTTTACTAATGACAAGGTTAATTATTAATCTTATATTTGACCCACTAGTTACACTAGTCAAGACCTAACATGTGATATACACCCTTAGCCTACCCATTTCATATGTCATATTTTAGGTTGAAATTAAATCTAAATAAAGGAAACCCTACCTCTCGTAGCGTGAGCCCACGTAAAAGAACTCCAAAGAAAGCCCAAATTTGGCTTACCAAGTTTTAGGCCTAGATTTTTGTCTGTGATATTTTTAGAGAAAAATGCGATCTTTGGTGTGGTTGTGTAGCTCTCATTGCGTAAACAACTTTAATTTTTGGCCTGAAGCAATTAAATGGTTTAATCTTCATAGATCTAAGAAGGAAGTAAGGAGAACAAAAAAAATAAAAACTCAGGGCGTGTTTGGTTTGCTTTCCGAAAACTATTTTTTGTTTTTAATATTTTAAAAACACCCAAAACTTGTTTGCTTAGCATTTTTGTTCTCAAATTTTTGAAAAAAAATGAAATTTGGAGCACAAAAACATAAAACAAGCCAAGCTTGTTTTCTGATAAGTTTCTTGGAAATTTAGAAAAGACGGAGTATAAGATCACTAGTCATTAATGGACTAAGTATAAAATGTGCTTTTTTTTCAACCTCTCTCGTCGTTTGCTCTGCTTAGCCCTCTTCTTCACTTAAGCTCTGGTGAAGCACAGGCACCACATCCAATGAATCACTGGCGTAACTCTGACGAATCACAAGCCTGGCTTCTCCGGTGACAGGTAACCCATAGATCTGTTTTTATTTTTTTTTTGTTTTTTTTTGCCTTGATTTTTTAATAGGGTTTGTGTTTGCTAGATTTGTTTACATTTTCCTTTTTACCTTCAGATCTATAATATTTGTTGTCTAACAACTGCGGCGAACTGATCATGATGTTCCGGTGACTCAGATCTCCTAGATCTAATTTTATTTTATTTTTTTGCCTTGAAATTATTTTCGGTGACTCAGCTATTTTTGGTGACTCCACTATAGTCCTTGGTTGGGTTTTTTGCCTTGAAATTATTTCCAGTGACTTAGCNTCGGTGACTCCACTATAGTACTTGGTTGCGTTTTTTTGCCTTGAAATTATTTCCAGTGACTTAGCTATTTTCGATGACTGCTATGGTGCTTTGTTGGGTTTTTTAGTTTGATTCGATTTCATTTTTATTCAGCTTATTCAAGTCATAGTTCACTTTATACGTCTATCAAAAGACCGATCTGATGTTGAATGTTTTGTTGTTGTTGTGAATTCTAGTTCTCTTCATATTCGAGTATAATTTAACAACGATTTGATTTTACTAATTCAAGTTACTTTAGTATATAAATCTTTGATCTGATTACTCTTTTGGTTCTTATTTTAGATTTTGTTACATATTCTTCTAATTTTTTTGTTTATATATGTTAAATGCTTAAGAGAATTATGTGTTGGGTGACTTTGAATTATGCATGTGTGTGGATATGCTGATTCTGCAATTGTTGGATTCTGAATTTAAGCGTGTGTTCATTAGCTTGAGATATGATCAGTTCAATCATACTTACATACTCACTGTATTTTTTTTACTCCAAAAGTTTGATTCTGACGCGTGTTCCTTTGGATTTGTTACTAGTTTGGGAAGCGATTGATTCATTTTTATGTTTTTTTTCTGGTCTTTTTCATGGGCATTATGTTGAAGAAACATATAGGGCCAATTTGATGTCACGTGAATTTTCTGAACAGCTGGTAAAACAAATTAATATTACACCTTATTAAAAATTGAAAGGCTTCCTTTGCTTAGGTTTAGTTTTACTACTATTCCTACAATCCATAACATATGATATTTTTTGTTTAGTTTACATCTCCCTTTTTTCCTTTCTTCTTGAATTTGATGATTGTGCCTACCATATCTATCTTCGTATTTATTAAATACAGCAGATCTGGCTTGCAATAGCGAACCAAAGGGCTTTGGAGGAGCAAATGTGGGTGTTCAACACGAAGTTGTGCACATTGATCAGTTGGCTACTCAGCAGGAAGCCTCAACCCTTAACAAATCCTCAACTGGCGAAAATGCCATCATCGATTTGTCAGACATATCATCTGACCAGGTATCTTGTATTCCTTAAAAATGAGAGCAATGTGGAATGTAACAGCATGTATGGTACTATATTTACAAGCATATGCAATTGTTGTATGTTTTTCATTTATTTAATGTATGAGTTATGTATGATTTATGCAACATAATTTAAGTAATTCCTTTTATACATGATTAATTATTGTATGATGTATATTATCTTAGATGTTATCCCAAGGTAATGACGACGATGTGGCCACTTGGCCATTGAGGGCTGAGAGTTATTTATTAAACTCTTGGTCATTGAGGTAGAGAAGGACAACCCGAATGATATGAACATCAGAGCAAAGACTTGGAATAAATTGGCTGTTCTGATGACCAAAAATATGGGTCATACTTACACTGTTGCAAATCTTAAGAGAAAGTACAATAGACTAAGGAATAAATATCGGACTTTCAAAAAACTTCTGACCACTACTGGATTTGGTTTTGACCCATAAACCAACACTATGACGGTTGAGGAAGATGTTTGGGCACGATATATTGAGGTATGCATAGTTTGACATAGTTGTATATATCTTTTAGGTTAGTTATTTATTACTAGCCTTAATGATAATTTTTTTTTAGGCGAATGCTTTTTGCAAGAAAGGGTGTGATCACTTCAACTTATTGGGACTCATCTTTGGAAAATCAACAGCCACAAGCCTTTTAGCTCGTGCTTCGACCCAAGTCCTGTCAAATTCTAATGAGGAGTGAAAGTTGGAGAAGGAGTTCATCACTGGTCAAAAAAGATCATCTGCTACTCTTGACGATGATCTTGAAGGTTTATTTCCCTTTCCACCTAAAAAAATTGCAAGTATTTCAAGACAGAAGAAAGGGAGTAAGAGTTCAAAGATGGATAATGCTATGGATGCATGGGCTACATTCTCACTGGCTAGGACGGAGAAATACAAGCGTACTTGTCAAGTGAACACTGTGAATGGCGCTTACAACATTGACGTTTGCATGAATGTGTTAGAGGGTATAGAGGTTGTTGGATCCCAACAACATTTTCGTGCTTGTGCAAAGTTCAAGGACCCTGAGTGGCATCAAATGTTTCTTAAGATGTCTGCACAGCGTAGGAAGGAGTGGCTTGACACACTAGATTAAGGTTCATTTTTTTTGCTTAGTTATATATGAAACTATTTGGGCATGGATGTCCAAAGTTGACTTAATTTTTTGTGTGTTTCTACCGAGACACTTGGGCATGTAATTGTTTGTCTGTTTCTACTTTATCAGACTTATTATTATGGAACAATATTATTAATATTATCGTATGATGTGGCACATGGGCTGCATGTTTAATTTTGTATGTTTTGAATATGTTACAAGCATATCGTTGGGAAATGTCTATTATTCAAGTGGTATGACGTTGAAAATGTTATTAGTGGTATGATGTTGCATGATGATGTGGATCATTATGTTATTACTGGTGTCATTTGTATGCATTGTAATCGTGAGTTTGTATTATGTTTGTAGTTACAATGGAAAATACAGATGCCCGATCAAGTGATGACTCACTAAGCTCATCAAGCAGTTTAGATGATGAATTGGATGATATGTTTTTTGTCAATATAATTTGTCCATATGCTAACAACCATTTGTTCAAAACACCATGCATGACATTTGAATTAACTGGCTATGAATGGGTTATGGAATTGTTGAATGGAAATCCGTCACGCATATATAATTGTCTACGGATAGATACCGATACTTTTCTTGCATTGTGTAAAACACTGCGCGATGATGGTCACATATAAGAGGACTACCACAACCGTTTGACAATTGAGGAGTCTGTGGCTATTTTCTTACTCACAGTGTCACATAGTGTTAGACAAAGACTTGTTGCTGAGATGTTTCAACACTCAACTGAAACTATTAATCGCCAATTCAAGAAGGTTATGTGTGCATTAGCCAGTCTAGGGGTGTCAATAATTCGATCATAACTTCTATACGAAACTCCACCTAAGATATTATATGATAAACGATACTATCCATGGTTTAAGGTAACGATACTATCCATGGTTTAAGGTAACATCTACTAAACATGTTACATATATTTTAGTGTACTACTAAAATCACACTGTATAAATGTAGGATTGTATTGGTGCAAGTGATGGTACTCATTTAGCTGCATGGCCCCATGCTTCTAAGCAAGAGGCATACTGTGGTCAAAAAACAACAATTACCCAAAATGTGATGGCACCTTGTTCTTTTGACATGAGGTTTGTATTTGTCATGCTTGGTTGGGAAGGTAGTGCACATGATTCACATGTTTTTATGGATGCTATAACAAAAGGTGAAGTCAACTTTCCTATTCCGCCAGAAGGTTGGTGTGTAGATTAATTTAATTCCTATAATCAAAGCAATGATGTTAAGTATCTAACGTTGACATTGTGTTTTTGGATTAGGGATGTACTACGTGGTAAATGTCAGCCACACAAACATGCCTAGATTTCTCTCGCCATATCATAGCGAGAGATATCACATTCCTGGTCATAGTGGTAACAGACGTGCACCCCGTGGACCCAGATAGCTATTTAACTATCAACATTCTTCCTTGAGAAATGTTATTAAGAGATGTTTTGGCTTGTTGAAAGTGAGGTTTCCTATTTTAAATACAATGCCAAAATACAAACCTGCACGTCAACCAACCATTGTAACAGCATGTTGTGCAGTTCATAATTTTGTTTGTATGCATTCAGCAGGTGACATTTACTTTCAGCGATTTCTAAGTGAAAACGTCCCTTTAAATAATGAACAGAGTTCCAACCATCATCTATTGACTGAATTGGACATGTCATCATCACAACTCAATGCTATGTCGCACTTGAGGGATACAATGGCTGCGAATACGTGGGCTGTTGTTTCTCGTGGTGGTTGAACTTTTATCTTGTTTAAGTGTTATTACTAGTACACTGCCATTATGTAATATTAAAAATATTAAGTGTTATTACTAGTACATGGATGCTATGTAATATTATTTGTATTATGTTGGATACCATATTTATGTGTGATGACATAAATTACATGGTTGTGTTTCATTTATGTAATTTGTTAATTGGAATGCATGTTAATGGCATTTGAAATTTTTTTTTTTTTTGGTGATAAATTGCAGAGCACATGGATAATGCTACAAGTCCTTTATACGCATGTGGTGCTGGCCACACGAGGGTTTTCAGAGCTCGTACAATGAGGAATGATGGCCATTATTTTTATAGGTGTCCATTTGGTAGAGACCATAGGAATGCATTTATTTGGGTTGATGAATACCAACACCACCTGCACCCAGTTGTCTATCATAAGGGTTGGCTCATTTGTTTATGTTGTGAGTGTAATGTCATTTTGTATTTTTTTGTGTTGTTTTTATTGTTTTTAATTGTGATTAGTGTGGTGGAGAAGTGATTAGCGCTCTCATTGTAATATAATGTGGAGCTTGTATGTACGAACAATGGTGTGTATTATGTTATAATTTGTAATATAATGTTCTACCAGTGAAACATTCAATCCAAACATCATCTCTGTTTTCATTATTTTTTGTCTCACTGTCCAAACATTTTTTTGCTTTTTGTTCTGCAAAACAGTTTTTAGAATTATATAATTAAACAAATTTTACGACATGAAAAACACTAAAACCAATTTTCAAAAATTTGTCTTTGAAAACAGTTTTCAGATACTATTTTTTAAGACACAAACCAAACACGCTCTCACTTTTCTCCCTCTCACTCTCTCGGCAGGCTACTGGAGAAGACAAAGTGGAAGACAAAAAAAATCTTCCACTTTATATATTGTCTAAATGTGTGGCCCACATTGCGCCACACTTCTTCTTTTAAACGGGTTCAATTTTATTCCGAGTCAATTAAATCTCATCTCATGTTAAGTTTAGTATATTTTTATTGAACTAACTTTAAATTATTTTTTGGGTGTCGCGAATAAAATCTGATCACCATTATTTTAATCACACGACACCCAATCGCTTTGTAAAACGTGATCTGTCTCAGAATTTTACAAAAATTTATTGGATAGCTAGATTTCGAGAGACGAATCAAACGATGAGATCTGTTTCGTCAGCTGAATTATATAAAAATTCACGTTTTTGACCCTCGCTTTAACAGTTAATTACTATTTTACCCCTTTAATTATAATTTTAATAAAAAACATATTCCAGGTTTTACAAGTTTTGAATACTTTGAATTCCTTTGTGTTACTCTTAAGAGGGCAGTGATTAAATTTATCAATTGACAATTTTGATTAAATTTCATTACTATATACAAAACATTAGAATGGGCATTACTAAGTAATGGTGATTCGGTGATTCTATTCTCATACATCATTACCACTAAGTCTGTCAATTGATCGAATTTTGATTTGAACCCGATCCGAATTTGGATCCAATCAACCATATATAGATTGATATTTTTTACCAATAATTCGAATCAGATATTTTATATTTCACTGATTTAGATTTGGATATACCTATATTTGGTTCGATTACGATCCAGTTCGAAATATTTATATATGTCTATAGGAATGTTAAAGAAATTAATAGATTATTTGAAAAAAAATAAAAAAAATTGTTAAAATATAGTTAAATTAAGTTGTTCAGACAAATAGAATTTTCAGATCTGATTTTGGATTATTTATGTTGTCAAATAAGATTACAAAAATAAAATCCGTTGAATAATCGATTCAGACCTTTAANATGAAAAACACTAAAACCAATTTTCAAAAATTTGTCTTTGAAAACAGTTTTCAGATACTATTTTTTAAGACACAAACCAAACACGCTCTCACTTTTCTCCCTCTCACTCTCTCGGCAGGCTACTGGAGAAGACAAAGTGGAAGACAAAAAAAATCTTCCACTTTATATATTGTCTAAATGTGTGGCCCACATTGCGCCACACTTCTTCTTTTAAACGGGTTCAATTTTATTCCGAGTCAATTAAATCTCATCTCATGTTAAGTTTAGTATATTTTTATTGAACTAACTTTAAATTATTTTTTGGGTGTCGCGAATAAAATCTGATCACCATTATTTTAATCACACGACACCCAATCGCTTTGTAAAACGTGATCTGTCTCAGAATTTTACAAAAATTTATTGGATAGCTAGATTTCGAGAGACGAATCAAACGATGAGATCTGTTTCGTCAGCTGAATTATATAAAAATTCACGTTTTTGACCCTCGCTTTAACAGTTAATTATTATTTTACCCCTTTAATTAGAATTTTAATAAAAAAATATTCCAGGTTTTACAAGTTTTGAATACTTTGAATTCCTTTGTGTTACTCTTAAGAGGGCAGTGATTAAATTTATCAATTGACAATTTTGATTAAATTTCATTACTATATACAAAACATTAGAATGGGCATTACTAAGTAATGGTGATTCGGTGATTCTATTCTCATACATCATTACCACTAAGTCTGTCAATTGATCGAATTTTGATTTGAACCCGATCCGAATTTGGATCCAATCAACCATATATAGATTGATATTTTTTACCAATAATTCGAATCAGATATTTTATATTTCACTGATTTAGATTTGGATATACCTATATTTGGTTCGATTACGATCCAGTTCGAAATATTTATATATGTCTATAGGAATGTTAAAGAAATTAATAGATTATTTGAAAAAAAATAAAAAAAATTGTTAAAATATAGTTAAATTAAGTTGTTCAGACAAATAGAATTTTCAGATCTGATTTTGGATTATTTATGTTGTCAAATAAGATTACAAAAATAAAATCCGTTGAATAATCGATTCAGACCTTTAAAAATGATTATGTATCAAATCAGTCAAAGTCTAATCTAAAACCGATCCCTTGAGAATCTTAATTAACCCTTACCAAATACAAACTTCGACTTGCATGTAAAAATAGTTTTAGTAAAACCTAAAAAACTTTTTATGTGGCTTAATTTGAGTTTTTTAATGAATTATTGCTAATTGTTGGCTTTATTTTCATTTCTTACCGGTGAGTAGTTGTAAAGATGCCAAACATTCAAATTTCTAGTAATTTAAAAAATTATTGGTAATAAAATTAGAGCTAATCACTGATTTTTTTTAAAAATGACAAAAAAGTAAAAAATGAATTGATTAAAAAATTAAAGGTAAAAAAGGAAAGAAGGATAAAATTGAAACGATACATGAGATTAATGGAGTTTGGTCATCTATATCTATATCTATATTACTTATAAATGTTGGTATTTGTGAAAAAAAAAATTGATTTTCTATTGTATCCCTAATTATTATTATAAAAATAATTATATCTATATATATACTCTCATTTAATTTTTTTTACACCTATTTAATTTTTAACTCCTTTTGCATTTTTTTATAAATACCATTCGACCTCCAAATTTTTTTGAACTCATTTATTAGTAATACACTTACATATAATTTTGTATATTTATGTTTTTATCTATGTTAAGGTGTAAAATCTTGTCTATGTTATATTATCACATACATGTAGTTACTAGATTAAATTTTACGGTCAAATATATGTTATATTTAATCTAGTTGACAAAAAAAATTAATAATTCTATAATATATATATTAGATGTGCAAAAGTCTAAAGAAGTCAGAAAGATGTCTAAATAAATGACAGATATATTCAAAGAATAGTAGAATAGATGTAGTTAGTGATTTAGGAATAATTAATATAAGAATTAATTATTCGGAACTTAATTTATTATTTAATTTAATTACATCTATAATTCATGTATTTTATAAAAAATTTATTTACGTGCAATACATGTCGTGCATTGCTAGAGAAAATAAAGCATCAAAAATAAGACTTAATTGTACATATAAAAATATAAGGACTTTATGTTTTTTGTATGGAAAAGTGTCTTATTAAATTTTTTTTTCTTTTTTTTGTCGCCTCAACTAAGTGAAAAATTAGCATCTAAAATTTGAGTTTATATTTTTATGATCTACTACTTAATCAAAAGGGTTTTTTAGGTGTGGGTACAATTTTTTAGACTTATTTAAGTAAAAGTGTATGGATAAGTTATTTATTCTATCAAGTACAATTGTTACAAAAAATTTTGTGTTTAGGTACAAAATTCAAAATGAATTAAAATCTTTTTTACTTAAACACCCTTCCTTAATTTATGCAGTCATCATTGACAGTTATTTGAGAAAATAAATAAATAAATAAATATATATATATATATATATATATATATATATATGTCGTCAATTTGTTTCACACACACATATATATACAGTTTGTTTCACTTTATACTATACACACACACACACACACACACATATATATATATATATATATGTATGTCATTCCATACCACCAACCTTGCTTCCACGTCATCTGACCAAAAAGAATAAAGTTTTTTACTATAATGATTGATCAAATCCTGAATTCCCTCCCCCCCAAGAAAAGAGAATCGATCAAGATGTTTTGTTAGATATTATGTATTGTTCATTGTTAGGATGTCGGAAAAAAATATTTTCTTTTTTCTTAATGGGTGTAATTGTTTTTAAATGGGTGTAACTATTTTTTAATGGGTGTAACTATTTTTTTTAATGGGTGTAACTGTTTTTTAATGTGTGTAACTATTTTTTTAATGGGTGTAACAATCACAGTCTCATGTAATTGTTAAGGCATGATGGTGTAACGACGTAACAATACTAAATGGTGCAACTATTTAGTTTATGTAAATAATTAAATGACAAATTGAGTTGATGTCATAATTTTGTGTAATTATTTTGTGTAACTGTTTAGTTTATTAGAACACATGAATAACTGTTTGGTGTATTATATGACAGTTATAACTGATTGATGTAACTAATTAGTGTAATTATGTTGTTGTAATATTAATATAAATAGAGTAAGAGAAAATAGAGAGAGAAATTGTTAAAAAAATATATTCCTATTTTACCTCTCATTACTTGATTGTAGCCAAAAAACAAAAAATACAAAATACAAAAGGGTTTCTATCCATATGCTATTTACCGATGGCAATNTGTGTGTTTTTTGTGTTCTGTGTGTGTTTGTTTTTTTTGTGTTCTGTGTCTGTGCGTCGGCATGTGTGTAATTGGTATATGCTAAGTGTGTGCGTTGAGTGTGTAATTAGTGTATTGTTTTGATTTTGTTAATTTTGTGCATAGTTTATGAGAAAACTATCAATTTTCTATGTCTCTCACTCCTCTCCTGTTATTAGGGATGCAACTCGGGCGAGTTGGACAATCAACCCTAGCCCAACCCTAGATATATAATCTTCAACCCTAACCCTACCTCGGGTTGGGGAACTCAACCCAAGCACTGCTCGAGATCAATTAGGGCATGCTCGGGTTGAATTCGGGTTGATGATTTCAGACTGATTTCGGGTTACTTTATGGGTTCAATTCGGGTAGAATCCAAAATAGGCTTGTTGTTCTAAACCTAATACATATATTACATAATATTCACCTAAATTAACAATCAATAACTTCAACCAAATTTTTAACGTGAGAGGCTGAGAGAACGAGA